TTAATACCAAAAAACCTCACGTGAGCCTACTTGAAATCCCATTTCCTAACATAAATTGGTGCAATATTACTATTGAACAACATGGACACACTCAAGAATTCAATTCACTGTGTTACATAGACTCAGCAAGAGTCTTCGAGGCTTTCAGGTCAGAAGCACACCGAAGTGAACATTCACTTTCCTAAGAACTTCAGAAGGGTTTGGGCTTATACTGAAACACTGCTGACATTTGCTAGGGTTATTAATATTTACTTTTTTTTTTCCTCCCCACTTCATCAGCAATCAGAATCCTGGAAACAGCCTTATAAACTCGACACATTATAGAGTTCAAGGATAGGGGGGAACAAAGGTCTATGGTTGCTTTCACAGTGCGCAGAGGAGGAAGCAAGCACCTCTAAGTAAATCCACACTGTTACATTTCTGACCAAGGTCTTACATATGATAGCAGGATGGTCTTTTCTGGCCTCTCCTCTAGTGGCAGAAGGAACACAGCACACAACTATGCTTCTCCAGGCTTACAAAGGACATGCTTTAGCATGATCTTAGCCTAACCTAAATCCCAGAAAATGGGGATAATTAAATGAGGGAGTAAAATGGATTACCCACTTCACACCTCCAACTTTAAACCAATAGTTGACTTAATTGTCAGACTTAAGTTGCTGATAACAGTATGCAGCTACATTTGTGTGCCCATCCCCAAAAGTGGTCCAGAACGTGCCTCCAGAGACACCAGAAAGGAAGAATGGTTCTCTAGAAAGCAGAATTGCTAAAAAAGCTTGAAAGCACTTGAAATAAAAATGTCTTACCATCCCATCACCCTATTACAGACCAGCTGACAACCTGGACCATCTGATCACATCTACACTAGACCTCTCCGCTAAGTGTGGAGCAGTTGTTGGCATTTTAGGCATGATAACGAAGAGACCCAGGCTGCAGACTAGAGATACTAGGTTTTAAAAGGGCAAAGCAAGCATGACTGTAAACAAAAACTGGAAAACTCTCCCACTGCTTCCATCAACATACTGACAAATACTCAGACCTCCACTGATAAAAGGAAACCAAAGCACCAACAGAGCAAAATATCTGCATCAGGCAAATCCTCCACAGCTATTCTTTCCTGATTTTCAGTGACTTGATAACAAGGAATAAGGACCTTATCACTATGTTGTTGCCTTCACCCTTAGCAGGGCACTGGAAATTAATTTCTGATCACCTTTATTGAGGGAATTCAAAACTGTTTCATGCTTGAGAACATGGCAAAGAATAGACAATACAAGCGCTACCACCAGGTGAGCCCTATGGCAAGGCAAACAATCCAGAAAGCAGTAAAAACACCATTCTGTAAACCAAAAACCACTTTTCCCTCCCCATACCTGTGGAGAGACTCTACAGGATATTTACTGAAGGATTTCTCCTCTTCTTACAACGCAGAGAGGTACAGTTAGGAGTATATACAAAAGGGTTTTGTACTCGTTTTCGACTTTAGTAATGGTGGTTCAGTTCCACCAGTATTGAAAGAAGTTAGCAGACAAAAATCAATGACATGTACAATCCCAAAGACCTCACACAGGTTTAAGAAAAAACAGCAGCAACCACTGCACCTCAGAGCCAGCAGCATGGGACCTACGTTTCCCAAACTGATTTTGGAGCTGGACCTCAGCAGCAGAGATCCAGCAGCAAACCCCTGGTCTTTCAAATCATCCCCTTAGACCCTAAATGAGAAGTTTCAAAGCCCAACTCTGAGAAACTGAATACCTGAAGTTTTTCTGCCAGGCACTCAATTCAGGATAATAAATTCCACTGTTTTATACAATCTTAAGACTCAGAATGAACACTCAAGAAATCACTGTTTAAAAACCTTCCACTTCTCATTTTTAATTAGCAACTGTATCATTAAAAATACATACTTGATACTACACATAAGGACTTAAAACAATCAAAGACCCATTTTTCTTGTATATTTACCAGCTGCAAGCCACTACCAAAGTAAACAGTAACCCTAAATGGCTCATTTAGTTAAAATAGTGCAAGAATTACTCTGCTAGTAGTGAGATGTCACACCACAGACCTGGGGAAAAACTTTTCATAGCATCAGCCATCCGTGTACTAGAGTTTGTTAAAAGAATATTGAGAAAAAACAGCATACTTCTCAACAAAAGCCTTAAATTTTAATCAAATGAGAGTCAATAAGCAAGCAAAGTTCCTAACAACGCTGTTTTACCCACCCCATGCACTGAAATAAACTCACTCCTTGTAGCACATGGGGGAAAACCCCCAAGCACATGAAAGTGATACAAGTACTGAAGAATACCTAAAACCCAAACAGCTCAATACCTAATCATGCTGCTGATACTTGGTTTCTTATGGAATCTGGACCCCTCTATGTATATGAGAGGCATAGGACTACATCAGAGAATGGATTCAACAAGCCAGTAAACGAATCCATACTTCCAGTTACTATTATGACTAAATTTAATTTATGTAAGACCGAGACACACACTTGGTCCATAATTTCTGCATCTCACAGCACATAATTAAGTAAACAAGCTTCACTTTAACTATCAAGAGCTAAACACTATTCAAATACAAGCACAGGGGAAGACAAGGAATTAAAGGATCTTAACACAGGCCAAAATTGAGGTGTACTATATATACAATCAACCAAAGCTTTATCATCAAAGAAGAGGACTGGAATTTCTTCTCCCTTAAAGGTATTCTGAACATGGATAACACCAAACCTAAACCCTTCTAAACCAATCCAGGTTCTTGAGAAATGCTTGAGATTTTCAATAAGTTCTCTGGTGAGCTCATATCCTTCCTTTTTTGCTTAGCCATCTTTGCTCAACTGCATATTCACAGCCCCCAGGATGAGCGTACCACAGATACAGCTTTATGTTTTCGATTAAAACCCTACAACAGAATTAATCTGAATATTCCTTACTGTTTTATAAGAAACATTCCCAACTTTGAACTCAGCCTACAGGAAACAGAAAACAACAAATTCTCTGTCTTAAGCCCTGCCTTTAGGAAGGAAGGATAAGCTTTGCATACTGATTCTTACATTCAGAAGAAAGCAGATTACATCCAGGATAAGGAAATTGCAAAAAAAGTACCCAAGTGGGACAGAATGGTAAGTAAAAAATAACAAACACTCAAGGGAGAAGAAAAAAAAAAAAAAAAAAAACCACAAACCCAGAAACCAGCAAGACAGAACAACTGAAGTTTCAAACTCCCTCTTGTAGACCTGCCACTAAATTAGAGCAGCAGAGCAAAGCACAGAATAATCATTTCTGTTGCAACATTTTCTCCATTTTCTCCCGGGCTTCTCAATAGCCATTAGCTTTGAGTAGAAAAAACAAAGGTTATAGACTGGGTGCCAGCCCCAGGTGCCCCTCTGCACAGATTTCATTAGATTAAGAACTGCCTCTCCCCCACCCCACACTGCCCTAACAACTCCCCATCACCTGCAAGATGCTGCTGTCCTAGAGGTGAAATGCTCCCTGCTCACCAACCCGGCACTCCACACTCCCAGCTCAACACAAAGCTCACCATCCATTTTAAAAGCCAGCTTGTCTCCTTTCCAACACAACTTACATGCTTTAATACTTATTGCATTTAACCTACTCAGATGACCCTCCAATACAACAGCAGCAAAAATCCATCTCAAAAAAAAGAAAAAAAAAAAACAAACTCAAAAAAAGGTATCAATATAAACAAACGGCGTCTTCTGCAGATGGCGATTATGGCAATTAATCCCTCCACAAAGCGCACCGATGAAGCACCAACGCAGAAATCTGGTCACCCAAATACTCAAACTCCCTAACTTCACCGCGCAACAAAGGCTTTTAAGGCTTTTATTTCCCCCTCCTAATTTGAGCTAACAACCCTTGGTGAATTATTCATACTCCTCAACTCACATTGTCCAGCCGCCATCCTCCCCGCCTTCCCCCCCCCCCCGCCCCCCACCGTCGTGGGTTTTGGAGGGGTTTGGTATTTTTTTTTTTTTATTATTATTTTTAAGCTTAATATTTCCAGACTCCAAAGCGGCCCTTTTCTGCACAAAACCAGACCACCACAGGTTCGGTGACCGCCTGGAATAAAGCTCAATCAATTCCTACCCGCTCGTTTTCAGAGGCAAAGGCAGCGCCCCCCCCCCCCCCCCCCCCCGCCCCACAGACCCCGAGTCGCTCCCCGGCACCGCCGCTGCTCGGCCCAGGCCACCCGCTTCTTCCCCCCCCCCCCCCCGGCTCCCCTCATCACCCCCCCCCCCCGGCTCCCCTCATCATCCCCCCCCCCCCCCGGCTCCCCTCATCACCCCCCCCCCCGGCTCCCCTCATCATCCCCCCCCCCCCCCCGGCTCCCCTCATCATCCCCCCCCACCGCTCCCCTCATCACCCCCCCCCCGGCTCCCCTCATCCCCCCCCCCCCCCCCCCCCCGGCTCCCCTCATCATCCCCCCCCCAACCCGCTTAACCCGCTTTCGGCCCGCAGGCCGCCCGGGCGCAACGGGCGAAGGCGCGGGGAGCAGGAGCGGGGCCCACACACAACCGTGACCCACGGGGGAAAAAAAAAAAAAAAAAAAACAAAAAACACGCAGCGCGCTCCCACCCGCGGACCCGAGCGCCACGCCACGCCGCGCCAGGCCGGCGGGACAGCTCCCGCCGCACCGCAGGGAGCGACCCCCTCACCCCGGCGGCGGAGCCCCGGCCCCGCTCCCCCCGCCGACAAAATGGCGACGTGGACGGCGGGGAGGAGGAGGAGGAGGAGGAGGAGGAGGAATGAAAGAGCGAAGCGCTCCGCGGGCTGGGGGAGCGCAGGGAGGGAAAGCGGGGGACGGAGGACGGGGAGGGGGCAGCGGTAACAAAGCGGGGGACGGCGCCGGCGGCACCGGGCTGAGGGGGGGAGGCGGCCCCCGGGCCGAGCGGGGGGGGGGGGGGGGTGGCGGGCGGGCGGGCAGCTCCGGCACCGCGGGCGGGAGGCCGCGGTGTCGGCCGGCGGTACCTCTTCTTGTCGGTGACGCCGCCGGGGCTCTCCATGGCGGCGGGCTGAGCGGGTCCTCCCGCCGGCTGCCCGAGCTGCGAGGCGGGCGGCTCCAATGGCCGCCAACGGGGCGCGGGGAGATGGCGGCGCGGCCGGGAAAAGGGGCCGGGTCTGGGGCCGCGCGGGCTCAGAGCATCGGGGCAGGCTGCGGGGAGGTGCGGGCGGCGAAGGGCGCAGCGGCGGCGGTGGGCTGGGCGCCGAGGAGGAGGAGGAGGAGGAGGAGGCGGCGGCGGGGGCGGGCGCGGCCGGCCCGGACCCCGCGCTGCGCCAGTGAGGAGCGGCGGCGCGGCCCGGCCCCTCGGCCGGCGGGGTCAGCTGAGCGCTCAGCTGGGAGGGGGCCGGCGCCTCACGTGTGGCGCTGTGTGCGGGGCGGGACCGCCGCCGCCCGGACCGGCCCCGCCGGCGGCCCCGGACCCTCGGCCGCGGCCCGCCGAGCGGCCGGCGTCCCCTCAGCCAGGGTCGCTGGGCGGGTTTCACGCCGGTGCCGAGCGCTCAAAAATCGCTAAAAAGGAGCCCGCCGGCCCCGAGAGCCTGCCGGCACGGCTGCGCCTTTACGGGGATATCGGGTGGAGATTGTTTTGGGTTTTTTCCTTCTTTTTTTTTTTTTTTTAATTGCATTGAACTTTTTTCAAGGCGTGACTCCTCTCACTTTCCCAAAGGATCCTTAGTCGTGTGTGTGTGTCCCCCAAAAAGGACATTTTCAATTAAAGCGTTCAAACCCCCATATTAATTAAGAGAAATGGGCAACCGCACCGCCGGTCGGGCCAGAAGGACAACGCGCAGCGAGTTGCGCGCAACTTCTACAACTTCAAACGCTCCCCCCCCACCGCGCAAAGGCAGAGCCGGGAGGCTGGACGGGAGTGCTGCCCGCTGTCTTCCCTCCCTCCACACCCAGACGGGCCCGAGCGCCGCCGGCCAAGCGCCGGTCCCAGCACCGTCTCCCCGCCCGCCGCCGCACCGCGGGCTCCGCCGGGGCGCGGTTGGGGAGAGCGCCCCGGTCCCTCGCCGTGCCCCCGGGGGCGGGCGGGCGGCGCTAGGACCAGCGCGGCCCCACAGCGGCGTTCCCCGGCGCTGCTGCCCCGGCTCCAGCCGCGGCCGCCAGGGGGAGCCAGCGGGCGGCGGGGCGGGTCCCGCTATCGCTCCCCTCAGGGCGCGGCCGCCCCCCCCGCGCCGTGGGCGCTGCTGCCCTCAGCGATCCGGGGCACCCCGCGGCCGTGGGTGGCCCTGGAGGCTCCTCACGAGTGAGCTGGACAAGGGAGGGAGGGCCTGTAACCTTCCCGGGGGGCCTGGCGTTGGACACGGCCACGCAGGCGCTCTCGAGTGGGCCCCTCGGATCGGGAGCCAGGCCGCAGCCGTGGAAGTGCCGAGGGAGGGAAATCGGGGCCAGAGCCCGCGCGTTTAAAATTAAAGGGTCTACAGTGGTCTTAGCTATGTACCCTTAGTGGTATGTGTCAGAGCACCGTGGGGAGGCGGGAAGGGTGTAGCTGCAGGTGGAGGGACCCCACAGCGCTCACGGGTTCCTTTACATCTCGTGGGCTTCCTCCAGCAAGGACTTGAAGTGATCGTATGGAGCTGACCCGTATGAGACTACTCGGTTTGCAGCTCGGAGGTAACGATACCTTCAAAAAAAGCAGCTCTGACAGGCACAAGAGACATCCTTGCGCTGCTGTGTGGGCATGTGATGTAAGAAACACCTGCAGGGCAGAGTGATGTCGGTTCAGTACTGCGCCTTCCGAAAATTTCTGTGGCGGGGTCCAAACTGCCAGGTAATGAGCAGTCGTTTTTGCATACAACCATGGGTGTCTTGTGGTTTTGGTTGGTTATTTTTTTTTTTTTTTTTTAATTTCTTTTGAAGAAAAATCAGTGACCATGACATTTGATTGAAATCACAAGGAGTTTCTATATGAAATGAATTGCTTCTGCCTGCAGCAGTCAGATATACAGAAGAGGCACAGGTGCTAGAGACTCCTTTTATTCCTTTAAGGTTTCTCATCCAAACACTGACAAAGCCCAGCTTTACTTAGCTTATGAGATGTGACAACAGGGTAGCCCACAGCAGTGTGCTTGTGGACTCCTGATATTTCTGTTGTTCTGTGCTCACTGGAGCCTCAAGAAGACAATTAATCAAAGCAGGACTCAAACTCTTGCATAACTACCAAGAAGCCCCATACAAGAGCTCATGGCCAGCTTCATCTTTCAAAATGAGGTATAGGCAGTTTAAACATAGAAAGAAATTCACTCGTGCATGGCAGCCATGCATTATTTTAGTGCAGCCACGGAGTCACCATAACAGCCTCTAACAAATTTCCGTGGTGAAATAGGGAGATCTTCTACCAGGTGCAGAAATGACATACCCAGCTTTGTGCTGCCTTCTCCATGGGAGCTCCTGCCATGGGAAACACATCAGGGGCGTTTCAGTAGTGAAGTGGTGCTGCCAGAGGTACTTCCCATGCCTCAGAGGAGGCCAGTGCCACTCGGAGCAGCCATTGCATCTTCTCTAACCTGAGTGTGAGGATGAAACGGTTCCCGGTTCACTCAGAAGTGAAAGCCTCTTTTGCACTTTTACTGCATCCCCAGTGCTCACACCCCCTCCAAAGACCAAGTAACACCAATGCAGTCCAGACCAGGGATGCCTAGCTGTAACACTGCAGAACCCAGCTTATCCTACCCAGTAAACTCTTATTTTCAATCCTACAGCTGTCACTCCTTTGAATGACAATTTCGGTGCCCATGGAGGTCTTCAGATCCACTTGTGCACCATTATTACCATTATCCAAATTCACATACTCTGCAATACATCAAAAGGGTTCCTCGTTGACTATTCTCACACTAGGGTCTGATCATTTTAAAGCATTCAGGCACAAAGGCTTGAGATATGTTATCAATCCCTGAGTAAAAGACACCGCAGAAAAATCTCGGTCTACAAATTACTGACACTGCTCAAGTTGATTGTTCAAAGATGTCAGACTTCCCAGCATGAACTGGCTGAGGAGCTGTGAGTAAGTGTTGTGGTCTCCTTATTAGACACATTGCTTTCATGCCAAACGTGCTTACCCCAATCTCATAATAAAGAATACTACTTCAAAACCCAACTGTGTTTCAGGAGGAGGTTAGTGGAAACTTGTTCTGCAGTTAAACATTTCACACTACAGCATCTCTAGAGAGAAGTTAAGCAAACGCTTTCCCCAACACACATCCTCCCCCTTATTTGACTTTTGCTTCACTCCACTGGAATTCTGCATATACATTTTCTTTCCTGCTTTGCCAGTGGCTGATAACAGAAACTTATTACAGTATATAGTGCCTTAATCACTTTTCTTGACCTTTATTGTTGTGCTAAGTTCATGCTCCAACTTACGTTAAAAGAACTACCTGAATGAAATAGTGTTTGCTTATGACTAATTAGGGCAAATGAACAAGGTGATGAGTCAGCAAACAGCTTGGTGAGGACAGTGGCAGGGATTCGGCAGCAGAACAAATCAATGTGAAGGTGTGAGCTATGCTCCCGCCTGTGGCTTCAGATCCGTTTGCTGATGGGTCAGATCTCACCATGATGGGCTCTGAACGCTTTAACTCTCGGTACCCAAATGCATCCCCATCAGTAACGACTGGTAAAACTTCTGCCGATTTCAGTGGGAAGGAGATCAGGAGCTTAATTGTCTCAGGCATCTTCCCTCCAAAGAACACTTACCATTTCTGAGCATGGACTTACCAGGTGGAGGGTGTTGAAGAGAAGTGAGGACTCCCTCCATTTATCTCTCTTGAGTTGGCGGCTCACAACACGTGGGATGTCACTGTAACAACCCGCCTGCAGCACTGGCATTCCTGGGCATTTGCTTCTTAGTACAGCCCCTTACGCTTAGGAAATTAATAGTCACTTATTCAATAAATAAGTATGGTGCTATAATGAAGGGTCTATCGATACTTGACCACAAAACCTGCCTTACCCACAGCACCCCTGTGGGAGCATTTACTTGAAAGAGAAGTGCCACGAGGTCTCTAACACTGTGCAGACCTGTGGCTCTGCTACACAAGCTGCCAATGATCTAATGCTCGTTACTATGACTTACTATGCTTAACAATGCAAGAATCTGAGATCTCTGGTAGTCAACTCCTTTCACAATAGAAAGACGAACTGAAATTTGAATCTAATTCAAACCAAAACATTGGTGGTGAAAGCCTAATGCTGCTGTTTCTCAAACATGAAATATTTTCTGAAACAGGGTACGTGATGGGAGTCAATCTCTCTTTGGCAATTGTTCTTTCCTCTGATCTTTTTTAACCTTAGTACTTCTCTCCTTCTTGTTCCAGGATCTTATTTATTTTTCTTTTTTGCATTTGCACAATCCACATTTTTTAAACTATGACCATCTCCTAAAGTGTGCTTGACTCAGTGCCCATTTAGACATTTGGAAATACTGTCTTGACTGTGATTTCTGCACAGAGACATACAGCAATGTGGATAACAAATTCTGCAGTATAGTAAAAGCACTATGTCCAATTCAGCATAATTAGATTTGGGGGAAGGATTTTTCTACCCGTGAAAGGAATTTGCCAGATGAAAGCGTAAGGCAAGCAGGCGCTCAGCAGGCTACGCCATATAGTTTCACCAGTTGGCTGCATCTTGCCAAGCCCAGGCCACTGCTGAGCAGATATTGCCAACTGTGTGGTAGTTTTCCTGATGTGGACAAAAAGCAGGACGGAACTTTAAAACTGTCCTTACAGAAAAGATGGGTTTGTGGTCAAAGCCCTGAACGAAGACTCGGGGAGCCAGGGTTTGGTTCCAGGCCTCCCACTGGACTCTACCCAATCACTTAGAGAAAGGCTTTTGGACTTCAGTGCTGCAATCCTTTGCCACAGTGCCGAGTGGAGGAGCTGACTGCGTGACGGGCGTGGAGTCCAGCTCCCCATGCAGTGCACCGGGGATCTGGGGATCTGAGCAGGAGCCTCAGAAACCGGTTGAGGAGGGAGTGACTGAGATAACCACAATGGAAACACTGGAAAAAGGAGTGCCGCTTCGACCCACGGCCTTGCCAAGGCCAGGTCCAGTTTTGGGCCTTCAAGATATTTCTCTCTTCACAGGATCCTCAGCTGGTAACTCCGCCCTGCAGCAAGGCACAGCAATGGGGCTTGGAAAGAGTAGTCAAAGTGCTGTCTTGGAGGTCGGAGATGCTTGTTCAATCTCTGTCCTGTCCAGCTCAGACCAGGATTTGGCACCCACTTGGGCAAAGCTCATCTCTTTTCTGGGAGCTGTTGCACTTTAGCCCCCTAA